AAGAAGAAAGGTAGTATTACCTTCTTCTGAGAAAACACCATCAGGGGATATGATTTCCTCTGTCATCTCGTAACGGCGCTGAAGAATTCCGCCTTTCCAGAGTATAGAAGAAGCCTCTTGACCATCGTAAAGAAGAGCTTTGTCTCTCAAATGGTTGAACGACGAAGGGGATTTTCTGATGACACCTTCTGCTAAAACTGCAATATCTTGCCAAGTGGATGGGACTTTCTTAATGTTCTCATTCAATAGGTGATCGCCAATTAAGACACACAGAAAAGCACAACCATTTGTGCCATCGTTGCTCATAGTTGAAGAAATATCACTCACTCCCAAAGCGATCAGGTAGTCGGCTCTTTCAACAACACTACCTTGATGCACACTCAGAGGAATTACATTGTTATATTCTGTATCACTGGAATTATGGATTTCCAACACTTGGCTTAGGGATGGTCTTGAAGATGGTTCAAAACTGGTGCATTCGTGATAGACTTATACGAGGTGGCTCCATTTGTTTCGCTGTTGTTCTTGATATTTTTCAGACCCCATTGGCTTTCTTTGCTGTGTCAAAAGGCCTTTAATATGATCTAACGCGTTAAAGTGTTCTTTGCACGTTGCTCTTGCAAGTTCCAGGTCTCGCTTGTAAGGGAAAGAGATGTCATTATTTATGACGCAAAAAATGACCATACCAAGGGCCCAAATATCTATTCTTTGCAGGTCAAGGGCTCTTACTTCCGACATTTTATTACTTGAAATAATTTCTGGGGCCATGAAGGCTGGGGTTCCGCGTCCAACTTTGTTCGTACAAGTGTTGACAACTTCTTGCGTTTGAATTTTTTTTCCTCTGCTTTCACCAAAGTCAGTTTACAGACAATTGCTTCCTTGTTAAATGCGTCCTCAATGTCATCCGTGCTTTCCAAAGAGCAGTAATTGCTGGTTCGAAACCAATTTTAGCCGTCTTGAGATATCTGTGAAAGCAATCGTGTGCATGAAGAAACTGCAGGCCTTTTGTTACATCGCTTACCACCTTGCTTTGTACAGGGAAAACGTCCACGGCATTCAGTTCATGCAAAGACATCAAAAATTCATCCAATGAGCTTACTCTTAACTTGCGGCTACTATCAATAAACGGGGAAAAATCAAAGTATAGATACTCC